GAGCGGGGACTGCGTGAAAACAACGAAACATATGAAAAATGTCTTACCTCTGCCTGTTCCAATACATTATTTGTGTAAAACATAGATTAGTCAGTCTAACAATTTGATTTTTTCTGTGTTTCAAATTTCCATGACCTGTCTATACGCCATTCCGGAGCTCATTCTGATACGCCATGGTGATATGATATGCTTCGGGTACGGTATTCATTAAATATATAATGGTTCTATTTTGTGCACGATACGAGGAATTTACTTGAGTTCATCTTGTGGTACTGCTATTGCATTGGTTGGGGGTACTCTTCTTCTGCATGTTGAATTGAAATGCATCAGTTGCTCTTTTTCACTGGGTTGTCGGGGTGAGTATAGCATGTAAAGCATGTAAAGCATGTAAAATTGTCATTGTTATTGTTATACGAACGCATGCAAACTATGGAAGCTTTTTAATCCCCAAAGTTAGAAGCCGTTATTCTGTGCAACATATAACTGATGAGTGATTGAATAATGTACTCGCTTAGCATGTGATTCGACGTTGCTGCCATGCGCAACCAACAAACATTTGTTCTACGCACAGCAGCAAGCATTGCTTGTATTATCATTTCTAGGTTCTTGTGTTTTTTTTTATACTAGGAAGTTTCTGTGCATAGCTGAGTCATTTTTTATTATTAATTAAAGAGCACGACTTGATAATGAGTGTGTTTCTGAGTAACAAGAGTGCATGATAAAACGTACATCAGTCATTAATTGCATTTTCGCTCCTGACTAAAACCAGTGCGTAGGAAACGCAGGGCATTGTTTAAATACGTAGAAAACTTCAGCTCGTGAGGCACGCCTTACATGCATGTCTACGAAACAATATCAAGTTCAAGCTCAAAACATTACACTCCTTCGCAGCATTGTACAAAAAAAAAGTGATGGCAGAACTATTGACTTATGGGCTGTGGCCCCGGTAAAGCAAAAGCAGTAAATCACGGAGCTGTGTGTGATGTCAGCTTGCCACAATTGTTGAATCACAGGGTGGCCCCTATATTAAGCATCTGAAGAATGATCGACTTGAAGCACACACCACAAGTTGATAAGATACGAGGAAGAAATGTAGGAAATCAAAGAGATGCGTGTCCCGTTTGCCATCCTACGCTCCGGTGGAAAGGGATTACGTTATGAAAAGATATAAAATAGATAGGAACTGGGAGAAGACGAAAAATGTGTTTTAGTTTAGGCAACACTGCTGCGTTCCATGAACGTCTTAAAAAATTATTGAATGGTATCTAGACAGTTTGAAAGTACTATAGATGCAGGACCATGACGGGTCACGTTCCTTTGTAGAAATTGACACATGTTTCACCTCATTACGAAATTGCAGTAATAGACGGGCTATGGTGCCTACTATAGCCTTGTAAGCGCCAACCTTGCGGTATCTCTTCTACAGACTGGTGAAAAATGTATGTCAGCTTGCGGCCACCCACAGAGTCACATGATGAAAATAAAAAAGGAGCGGCTCATCTAGCATGTGTTGTAACAATTGCGTATGTACATCAAGAACGCTCAGTTTCGATGCGCAGCCGGAGAGCCACAGACATGCCGTGGTGCGCAGGAAGTTGCATTAATTGGCTCTGCATAAACCATGAAAGGGGCTGGCACTGCCAGTATTAGAGTGCCAATACTAGGCGTTCCTGGTCATTCAAAGGAGGCTGTCCGGCACTTAGTCAAGCCCAACCATTGCACATACGGTGGGACAACAGCCCGTTCTACCAGAGGCCTGTTCCAAAGTTACAAACAGCACAATGTCGCCTTTGATGCCGTAGTAGGTTTAGTTATTTTTTGTATCTTTTTGGTGTTCCTTTTCTTTGTCGCTACTCAAAGGGACAGTAAAGGCAAATATTGCTACATGTAGGCGGCAGGAGTGCATATTGTAGACGCGTGTGCGCCCGACGAAGAGCATGAAGGTCGCTTGCTGCTCGAGCTCTGAGCCGGACTTGCCAGCGCTGCAACCGCTCTTGCAAATATGTTTTGCGAATAGCCGGCAGTTTAAACGACTCCTTATTCACGTAAAATGTTAACGTGTAACGTTATTCGTGTAAGTCGATGTTGATTGCTGACATAGCTGTCTAGAAACCTCGTAGGGCTACTGTTGTGCCAAGGAAGTGCTAAATTAAAATAAAATTTTGTTTTGATGGTGCGCATCGCGTTAACACACTTCAAACTACCCGCCTTAAAGCGGAAACTCTCATGTCACTATTGCCGTGCACACCGTTGCCCGGCTTTGCTCCGCGGCCGCCGCCACTTGTAGCAGCAGGGTGAATGCAGCGGGAGCCACAGCAGTAACAACAACCACTGAAAATTTTTTTGCCATGGCCTCCAAGATGGCAGGCGTGCTTGTTTCAACTGGGCCCCGCTAGATGGCATGACTTGTCCTGTTTAACCAGGCAAAAATTGAACTTTTGAACCACACGTGTCATTGCCCATAGTAACGTCCAGTGGTCCTTTCCTCTACGAATCAAAGAGGAACAACAAGCAGCATGTTATTATGTCTCTTAATGCATCGAAGGTTCTTTATTTATTGCAGCTAGTTCAATTACTAGTAATTAATTTTTGGTGGTAACTCTAACGTCATGGGGGTCATTTTGCGAATGATACTCGTGACGCACATGTTCTCGTGCATTTACCTGAATTTCTCAGTGAGTAGGACACTGCTGTTGATAATATTGTGGTTTTAAACGGTTTCATACACTGAGCTTTAACTGCGGCATAAATTGTTATTTGCCTTTTGTGTCCCCTTAAGGTGTTCGTGCTATGTAGGCTTCACAGGCTCTCCAGGTTCTCTTGTACACTCATTGTGAGCACTCACACACTCATTTAACACTCATTGTGAGCCAGAAACCAAATAGTAATGACGGTGTCGATGTCATTTCTAATACAAAATACCGTTAGACGAGGTGCTTCTTTTGAAGCTGTTGGGTTTCTTAACTACATTACAATATTAACTATATGTATGAGAAGGAAACTAGGTCATGAGCATACAGAACACACAGGCACGAAAATCATCCTGAACACACTTACGAAAAAACGGGGCGCCATTACCTTCATGTGATATTCATGTGCAGACTGTAAGAAAGCGTGTCATGGAAATGCAAGAAACAACGAAAGCAGGAAAAATGACGTGCCTTGGTTTAGGCCAAATTTTGCTTTAATATAACACTAACCAGTGCAAGTAAGTAAGGTGTTCTATATTCCTTAATGAAATGTGATTAATAAAACAGGCGGATCACTTTGAGTGTTCCGACATTTCTGACGGCCACGCACATACACCTATTCTGAACACGTGACCTAGTAGAATTATTTTGATGAGTGCCGTGTTTTCTGCAGATTAAGGAGGAAGACTCCTTAGGTATTCATGTGTTTCTTCGCAGGACTAGCCAAACTTATGAAGTTTTTCTAGCGAGGCACAAGAAGTTTTGCATATAGGTTGTGCCAATCGATAACTTCAAAATTCCTGGTTCGACGGTTCGACAGCGGGGCTGACCAGGAGATGATGTGTGTATTGAGAGGCCTGTGAAAACGGTGCCGAGAGCTGTAAGGTAATAGCTCTCAGTTCTCTTTCAATGCGAGACTGTCTAGACCATTCCACAATTGATTTGCTCTCCTTCACAAGGTTTAACATCATTAAACAAAATTGCGTCCACAAAAATAAACAACTGGCATTTGGGTCAGAATGACTAAGATGTGTTGCTCTGAAGGCGACCAGGCTACTTACACTCCGCTAAAAAAACAGTACCCTGTCTCTTTTTTTATCAGTCGTGGCTTGTCAAACATACGAACCTTATTTAAAGATACACATGGCCTCTCCTTCAGATCCATTAAAGGGACTGTATACCATGCTTCGTTGCTCTCCTATTTTGTGTCGCAATAAAAAGCGTACCATGTGAATTATCTAACCTTGCAACGGATTTCTTTGGAAAGTGCGTAGAAATTTTAAAACAGATTTTTCTGTTCGCGTTACGTCTGCTTACATCGGTGGGATGAATGTCCACAACACTGCTCGGGTGCCGGTGAAAGTCGAAAACTGAAACCGCGTGTGGTTTTTGCAGGCTTCATCAAGTTTCGCTATTAATAAAACAAATATCTTAGTGGTCGTTTTAGACACACACACTTTTTTTTCGTTCTCGTGAGTGGCGAAAGACGCCATGGTCGTGTTTTTCCGCCGTTTGCAGGCAGGCATGCAGGCAAGCGAACACACTGCTGGCAGCGCCAGCGGGCGCCTATTTGAGCACGTGAGAAAAAAAAAGCGAAATTTGGTCTCTGGCACAACCTACAAGTGCCTAAAGTGCACAAAGTAAAATTTCAAGGTAAACGTGTTTGGTTTTAAGCAAAATTAGTTTACTTGCGAGGATTTATTGTCCTATCAATAGATTATCAAGATTGACCACATTCGCTGTTGGGTGACGCTAGTGGTCACTTTTTATTGACTTTCAACATCAAGTAAAAATTATAATTCTTTGTTTCTGGCCCAAAAGCATGCTCAGTTGCCGCCTATGTGATGAACAATCTTTCATTTGCGCCACAACCAGAAAAATGTTTCCGAGCAGTACACAGTCCCTTTAATCTCTCCTAGGGAAGCCATGGCATCCAAAAAAGACTAGCGTGTATCCTCAAAGACAGTAATATTAGTGTCGAGTCAAGATTAACTGAAAAGAAAACACATACTGTTCTTTTTTTATTGTAGAGTGATGCAGCTGCGACACACTAGAAGCTGCAGGGGGAGCAGGAACGGAACACAAGACAAGGACAAACAAAGAAACAGGAGATATGCTAATTCTTGTCTTGCGCTACAATTGCCAGAGTTAATCGCTAAAGCCCAGTTGTCACTTCTGTTGTCAGAGTAACTTTCTGTAAGTTTTTATGCGCCACTCGCAGTCACCGCTGCGAATTGGACTACAAGGCGGGATAAACGCCAGTCTAACACGTTTTTTTTCACGCCCTCCGCTCCCTCCTTTTCTGGACAGACCTTCGGGGCGAGCCCTCCATGGGAGGCGGTGGACCCCGAGGCGGAGGCGGCGGTGTCCACCAGTCTCAAGGAGTCCACGGAGGTGGCGGAGGCGGCTCCCAAAGGTCGCATTCGTCGGCCCCTTCGCACCAGGCTCCTGGGTCGGCGGGCCGCCACGCGCCGCCACCGGAGGACCACTGGTCGTCGCAGCAGCAGCAACACCACCACCACCAGCAGCACCAGCAGCACCAGCAGCAGCACCAGCAACAACACGCCTACCAGCAGTCGCACCAGCAGCGGGGGCTGGGCTCGGGCGGTGGCTCGCTCGAGCCGTCCCACTACGAGCACCGGTCACCGCACGAGCAGCGCGCCGCCTCGTACGCGTCCCGGCCGGTCGTGGGCACAGCGCAGCGATGGTGAGACGCTCCTCTTGCCCGCCCGGAGACGCGCCTGCCTGCATACCCGGCAGCTGAAGCGGCGCCGAGCTCTCACGCCGCCCAGGAGGTCTTCGAGCCCGGTGGTGGTCAACGGCAAGCAGTCAGCCGGTGCCGGCGACGCCAGTTGCCGAGTCGCCAGTGCCAGCCGCTGGCCCTGCCACAGCCGAGGCCCAAGAAGAAAGGCCGCTTCCGTTTTCTGCACGCGCTCAAAAGACTCTTCGGCGTGAAGGGGAAGCGAGGCTCGGCACCTCCGCCCGTGCCATGAGAACTCATCTCCCCGACAAGGAGCTCTGCGGGGCCTGATGGCTGAAGGCTTGAATAGTAGAGCTTCGCTCGCTTCGAGAGGCTGCTGGACGTGTTGTGCTCGCCTGCACTGACGTGTACGACGACAACGCTGAGAGCTCGAGGCTGTTGTCTTTATCAGCATGGCGAAGTGCAGGGCTGAAACACCACCTATATATAGGAGGATGCCGATTGTTCGTCCTGCTTTGTTTCGTGTTCAACAAGAGTGAGGCTCCAGACGTACAGTCAAATGGTTGACGGGTTGTGAAAATGGGCCATTAAATCAGACATTGGAGACTAAAGAAGCGGTGGTAACCGGATTGGAAGAAGTGCCAGGAAAAAAAAAAACTTGTTTGGGTTGTCAGAAAGGCTCCTTCAAATAATGAAGGGACAGCTCGAAAGCTGTAGAAAATGGACAGAATGACCTGTCATGAAGTGAGGTATAATGGTGACCACCGGAATATGATAATTGCCCATGTTGGTCTAGATTCGGCAAGGAAATCCGCGGATTTTTTTTAATACAAGCAAGCGAGCTCACTATACAGAATACACCAAGACATCATGGTCATTCGTGAAAGCTTGGCAAAACGTATGGTTCTACGGAAATTTGTTCCAGTAATGCCTGAGCGAGCGAGACCGTAGAAGCTGATTCTATCGTATCAGACTAGTTTTGAATTCGTTCGAATAGTGGAAAGATTTTCGAACACGTGCATTTCGAGAATATAGCCGTGTGCTGCCGGCACATCTTCCAAATTCTTCTCCGACCTTACCGAACGCCACAGTTTCTGCAGTGAACTTACCGTGTGCCGCTAATAGAGGCGAGACGAACGATGCTGTTCTGCTCTTGCTTCATTCTGAAAGTGGTTTTAGCTTTTTACTTTTAAAAATAAGAAGGAAAGAAGCTCTCGGCGGTGTTTTACTGGTGGCGACAAATATCTCTCATTACCTGATTGGCCTTGATTTTCGCCCTCGTCTGGAGCATATTCCTATGAAAAGCGAACAACCTCACCGTCACCACACCGTCTGAAAAAAAAAGGCCACATGCTCCATTCCGTGATCGTCGCCGCTGAAACGTCCTGAGGAGACATTCTCTCCCCTCGTGCAAACCACACGACTGTAAGAGAAAACGCCTTTCTTCGCAACACTGCTCAACGAGCGTACACCTGGACGTTGCGACGCGAGTGCATCGTGGATGAGAGAAAACTTTCGATAAACCACGACCAGGCCGAAATAACCCACCACTCCCAACAGACCAACCATTTTCGTCACCTGCTGCGAATAAGCTGCATCTATCAGCTGGGGCTGCCAAAAAAAAAAAGGACAACTTCCTCAGTGGTGTCCGTTCGTGCGCGGTGTTTGTGCGACTCCCGCTGATAACGACAAATGCCCAGAAAAAGAAAAAAGCCACCTGCCTGCCTGCTAACCTGTACTAGCCCGTGTGAATTTGTTCTTCGCAAACAAACATTTTCAAAGGACTTTTACGCGCATTATTCTACCTTCTTCGTCGTTCTTCGGCGGATCCTTTCCTCCCCGTGTTCCCATATGAAAGGGTCGTTTCGAGAAGGAAGCATATGATCATATTTCAATGTACAAAGGAACTGTCTTAACTGAATTTTCATGTCACAGGTCCGCGCGTCATGCAGCTATACTATATATAATAGCAGCTCTGCGGTTTATGTGCTGCGGCCACCATGTAGTAGCAGTAAAATCCTCAACGCCGCACGCAAACACACACACACAAACATACATGCCAATACACATGTCTCGTTGTTCGCACTGGGGCCGTTTTTGTTGACACCAAGCATTTTGTCTCGTTTACGCTTGTTTACCTCGTTTTATTTTTCTTCTGTGGGACCGCGAGAAGTTGTCTTGTCTGAAGCGTTGAACATTCGTCCTATAGTCGGATGCAACGTTTGAAGTCTGCGGCTACTCCTCCTCAACGCCAGATGCGCACACGTTTGCACCAATGGCCGCGCACTGCAGCATGAACGTCATGAGCCACATAGCCCATAATGCCACCTACAGAGAACAATAATGAGAGCATTAGCGGGACCTTTTTGTGGTTGTTTGGTCATGGAAGTTAAACCCAGCTGGGCTTCTTAAATTGTATATGGGTACGAAAGAATCCGCACTGTTTGTTTTAATCGGTGTCTGTGCGCCACTGGCCATTTTTATGTCGCATTGTAGGATTCGGTGGAACAGGTTATGTGTGCGTTCGAATTCGACGCCTACGAGCAGCACAGTTCTATAGTTTCGGTTTCGAGTACAGAAAGCGTGTGTGCGTAAGACGCAACGGAGAAACGCTGTTGTGACCGGCCAGCCGTTTAACGAAGATGACGTGGTGTCCTTTTCTTTATTATGAGTTTAGAAAGAAGATAGGTCGCGTGGCGTAATAAGAAAATGAAGAGCGCTGCCACTTTTGCACATATCCGCGGACAAGTCGCTCGCCCCGAGTGCGCATGCGCGCATCCTGATCGGTCGACCACTCCGCCCCCCCATTTCCACGTGCCAACCGCGGACGATTCCGCCATCTCAGGGATATCGATCCGTAACAACCGCTTTGCTATCGTGAATTCACTTCTAACTATGCGGACTTTCCCAATCTTCTATATTTTCTTTTCTGGCTTCTCCCAAGACTAGTGGCGTGTGCTTGCGTTCTTGGTGTCTGTCCGCGCGTGGCTGTATGTTGGTGTGCTCTTGCACTAATCCTATTCTGGCCTTGTTTAAGAGTCCCGGTGTTACGTACAACGTCAAGTTTTTATTTAGGTTGAACGTAGGCCTCAGAGAATGGCAGCCGTTTTCGAGACTTTCACCTGCACGTGATGTCTTCAACGTCAGGACTGGGTGCGTTTGGTGAGACACAACACATTTAAAAAGGGGGTAAAAAAAGCATTGAAACTCCACAATGTGAAGACGCGAATCTCGGTAACCGTGCTCGCGAATATTGACCAAGTTTGATAGGAGCGTTCAGGCGCAGGATCGTGCAGTTCGAAGCGTTCGGTCCTCAATTCGATTGTATTCAAGCAAATAACTGGAAATTTTTCAGGCTATTCTGAAATCAACTGGTAAACGTTCACATTCCTCTTGCGAAGAAAAAAAACGTTTCCAATCTAAAAAAACTTTTCCTAAATCTCCTTCACAATATTGCGTACGGGAATCATCTTTGAAATGATGTTAAGGAATAAGTATAGGCTCACATTGATGGATTACTAAGTGATTTAAGATATGAAGTATTTCTTGAGTGTTCTAAACATGGACAGTTTAACATTAAAGTGTATGGCTTCGACAAGTTTCTGAGAACCATCATTGACTCAGGTTCGCCTAGTTCTCAACCCAGCTGAAGCGTTGTTAAACGCAACTTATAATGTGTTGATATATAAATATAGCTGAGACAGTATCCACGCTCTGCCAACGACGCAGTGGTAGACTTGCCATCTCCCACGCTTGCAGCTCTTGCACGTTATCGGTTAGCTCAACAACAGACTGTTGCCAAAGCAAGGAAAGTGTTTAGCTTCACGGCAAACTCGTGTCCCCTTGGAGGGTTCTGCTGGATAGTGCCAGTGTATGTTTGTTTATGTGCACTCCTGTGGACGGTCGCTCCGCGTACTGTTTGTTAAAACTCTCAGGCAGCCTCAGAATGTGCAGTAGAGTACGCTGTTAAAAGGAACACTTCAAGAGCACCTTTCATGTTGCTGACCCTACAAGTAAACGTGGAAATTCGGGCGTAGCCTTTCAAATAAGAATCAGAACTGTCAGCCGCTGGTAGTCTTATGAAAATTTGAATCTAAGACTTATTTTAAAGAGAGCTGAATTTGGACATGACCCGTGCGCAAGCGTTAGCATTAACACTGGCCCCAATTGAACTTGTTTCTTTAGAAGAGAAGCTTGCCTTCTCATGCTGTAGCTGAGTTGTTTGACAGCCCGAGGTTAGGGCTATAAATATTTTTGCGATAGAAAGAAAAATGTCGACCATGCTCGCTTCGGGGTTTCGCGATCTAGAAGAAAAAGAGATAAATCCTGAAGCCGAAGCCTTCTAGGGTCGATAAACAGACAACTTTCCGCCTTGCTGACGCTTTGGTGCTAGGTGTTTTCTACCTAACTGAGCATAGAAAGTTAGGTGCAATGTGTAGAAACCCTGCTACAAAGCAACGTTGATTGCAGAAGAGATGTAGTGGCGGGTGTCTTGAACCTTCTTTTTTTCTCGTTTTGTTCGAGATCAGTTGTTCTATTTTGAACAGTTTGCAGATGCTAAGTGCCATTTCTTTATGCTGGCCGCGTTTGTGCATAATTTCCTCGAATATATCCCAACAAATGAACGTTTAACACACTATTACCTTTTCCGTTGTTTCTTTTGTAGCTTTTTTTTTTACTGCGCTAAACTACTAGCGCACGCTGGCAGACTAACTACGCTCAAACTGACTTAGCGGTCTTCCTTTCTCCACGTATGTCAACATCACCTACACAAGCCATATAAAAAGTTCTATGTATAGGAACGATGTGAGACGTAAGCCAGGGAACATGCCATGATTAACCACTTCGTGAGAAATTTCAGCATCAAACGCGGCGTGGTTCGCCTTCCAAAGCTTGTGGTGGACTGAAGCTGCGATAATTTTGTTTTATTGTTTTTTTTTCCTCTGTAGTTCGAGTATGTACAAGGACAAGAGCCTCTAAATCTATGGCGCTGCGAAATCTAAGGCATTGTCATGCTTCTTTGCTAGCGTTGTTTCTTGTAATGCGTATCTTCTGGTATCATCTATAACGTCTAACCTAATTTATTCATCGCGATGGCCTTTATAGCACTGGTAAATTAGAGAATTTTGGCTTCACGTTTGCATACTTTTGTAACTCGATTCAGCCGTTAATTGAGAATACGCGTGTTGGTCGCGTATTCGCTAGAATTTGTTTGTTGTAACGTCTTTTCATTAGGACTGACGGGTGTGAGCGTTCATCTTAGGGAAAGATGTGAGCATGCAGAGTGTTCCT